GTAAAGTGCTTGGTAGTGAGAGGGCAGGGTGCACCACAGTGTGCAGCACTGCGCCCTGGGCTCCCCACGTCATCCTTCCCACCACAGGGCTGCCAGGGTGAAGGAGACGCTCTCGGGTTTCTGTCTCTAACCAAGCCAATGTTGCATTGCCCAATGTCACCCTTCTCACATCCTTTCCCCGTTGCACGTGCCTGGGCTGTAGCAGCAGATCCTGGCCCTGCAGGCTGGAGGAGCTCCCCTGCTTCCCTTTCAAAGAAAGATTGAAAAGACCCTGCGGGGCCAGCACAGCCTGTCATGGCTCGGCCAGTGGGGACATTGCTATGGTGCAAACCCAAGAAAGAAAAGAGGACAGAGCCCGTGGCCTCATCTGGAGCTGGCAGCCCAGCATGGCGGATGCCAGCCTGCATCACGTCAGGCTGCCTGCCAACGTCGCCCTTTGCTGTCCCTGCTCTTCATGGGGCAGGGGGGCAGGGACCGTGTCCCTGCTTGCACCCCTCGCCTGAGGGGGAGCCGTGGGCAGGTGGGTCGGTGCAGCAGGCACTGGCAGGCAGGTGAGGGGTGCTGGGATGGGAATCCCCGCTGGAGGAGCAGGGTGCTTGGCATGGTGGGGGCTGGCTCCGGGCACCCCACTGGGGTTTGCTCTGCCCTCACGCAGGCGGCTGAGTCGCAGGCTGGGTGAGAGGCGGCTGCAGGAGGCCCCTTAGCCAACCCTCATATCCATACAATTCAGGGAAGGCGGCTTTGTCCCCGGCAGCTCCCAGCTGGACACAAGCTGTTGCCGGTCCCCTCTGCCCTGCCCTGGATGGCTCCAGGGTGGCGCACCACTGCAGCTGGCCAAGTGGCAGCACAGGACCCTCGGTGCCCTGCACCGAGGATGGACCCATGTGCAGGATGGACAGACACCCAGCCCCACTATGGCATCACCATAGAAACAGCTTAAAACCAGTTTCATTAGTGTCCAGTTACACAAACTTGACCCACCACTATCAGAAACGGCGAAGGCACGGCTCCTTGGCCACACACAGCAGCCGCTGTCCCTGGGGCAGTGGGCACCATGGAGCTGCAAGGGGACAGGGTCCCTCTGCCCTCTTGCACTGGGAGCTACTGTGTCCCCAGCAAGGCTTGCGGCAGTGGGACGTGCCCTATGCCTTGCTGGGGCCCAAGCACTTTACGGCCCCAGGGCCATGGGGTGAGCAAGGTACACGGCTCTCCCTTGGGCAGGGGTCACTCTGCTGCTGCCCTGCAGGGATGCTGCTGCCTGGCCACAAGGAAATATTTTGCTCTTGCTCCATAAAAGCCATTTGTGCGTCCCTCCCTGCTGGCAGGGACCCAGCCCAAGGGAGGAAGTCCAGCGGCTACTCAAGAGGCAGCAGCACAGGATGGGGACAGTGCGGGGACGGAGGTGTCCTCTCCTCCAGGGGGGCCATGGGCTGTCCCTTGCCTCTTCTTGCTCCTGCCCTGCCTAGCCCCAATGCCAGGGAGGCCACCTACCAAAATAACCTGGCAGGTCCACAGATGCCCGCTCAGCCCCCCACCCCAGTCCTCAGTGCCTCGCCATCAAAGCGGAACTCATTTCACCAGAGAAGCCGGCGCCGGCCGCAGGAATGTGTTTCATCTCCGGCCAGCTGACCCGTGGCAATTCCCAGCAGCCACCCGTTTTGGGCTAGAAGTGACCTATTTACGTAAGGCGAGCTCCCTGTGAGCTCATGGCCGGCGCAGCATCACGCAGAGGAGGTGGGGGGAAGCAGGGCTGCGGGTGCCAGAGCCCAGCCAGGCTGGACCACACGCTGCCGCTCACCCAGCCCCTGCAAAGCCCCCGGTGCAGGGTCAGGCCCGGCACGTGGCAGCCACCCTGGGCGATGGCCTTGCCGGGACCGGGCTGGCAGGAAAAGGTGGGTCCTCTCTGAGCATCAGGAAGCGGCCAGGGAGGAGACCAGACACAGGGGAGCCGTGAGGGGACGTGAGGAACAGGGACGTGCGCTCAGCATCGTCCTCCACGGAGCAGAGGCTGCAGCGACCAGCACCGTGGAGGTGCCGCTGCCGGGGCTCAGTGCTCCCCAGGGCGGAGCAGGGAGCCAGCCCAGCTGCCCCTTCCCAGTGCTCCTGCCGGCACAGCTTACTGCCCAGGGAGGACCAGAGCTGTGTGGAGCCATGGTCAGAGCACACGCAGCAAGGGCAGGATTCGTCCCCGGAGGGGAAAGCACTTTCTTGCAGAGGCAGAAGCCCCAGTTCCCATGGCACGCACGCCCCGGAGCCTGCTGGAGTGTTCTCTCGCAGGGGCATGGAGGCTGGGCTGCTTCATCACCACCCCGCTGCCAGCCCCAGCCAGGAGGGACGTCTCCAGAGCATCTGCCTCCAAGGTCAGCCTGGCACCGCCAGCCAGCAGCGGCCCGGCACCAATGGTGGAAAAACAGGAACAGAAAAGCCCTCAGGTCTCTTCCTCAGCCTGGCTGCTGCTCTCCGTTATTCCATCACGCCATCCTTCGCCGTGCCCTGACAGGCGGGTGACCCCCAGCCCCCTCGGCAACCACCCATGCCCTCCCCAAACCCCTAACCTGCTGGTCCCAGTCCTGTCCTCCGAGAAGCCCAGGCGCAGGGGTGATGGGTGGTGTGGGCGCTCGCAGGCAGGGGCCACGGGAGCCCCGCTCCCACCCCAGCGTGTCCCAGGCTGGCAGTTACGCAATTGCCTTTCCACAAACACAAGGAACTGCTCCGAGGGATTTGTGCAGAACAGCGTGGAAGGAAAACAAACCTGCTCCTGAACTTTGCAAGATAATATGTTATTCAGAGGGACTTGCCCTCTGGGTCTCCCCCTCTTTAACCCTTGAGGACATGATCTGGGCCAGGATGCCTGCGGTTTAGAACGTGCAGGTGAGGGAGATTTTTCCTCCTGACATTTTGCTCTTGCAGCTTTTTCAAAAAGGTCATCTCTGTCCCTGCTCCCCCCCCCCCTCACACTGCTGCAGGCCCAGAAAGCTCCCAACCACCTTGTTGTTGCTTTACAGTGCTGGCACAGCCTCCGTTAATCCTCAGACAATATTGGCAAAAGGATTTTAGCAGCGCAGGCCAGGGCCCTCAGGGGCAGGGGCCACATTTGTCCCCCTGCTTTCCTACAGCAGCTGCAATTCCACCTGGGGTTTTATTATTATATCTGCACCCCCAAGTACTCCAGGTCTGGCTGCTGGCACCATACTGGTCTGAGACCAGGTCTAGACCCAAGCTTACACCACTGGCAACATTAGCGAGAAGGCAGCTCCCTGCCTGTACCCAGGGCCCTGTCTGCAGGCAGCAAAACAAAGAGGACTTGTTCTGGAGGCAGCTTGCATCAGAGCAAATGCAATTGTTCTCATCGGATTTTATGAATTCCCTTCAGAGTTCCGACGTAACACAAGTACATTAGAGGACTTTATCCCTGCTAATTTCAGACTACAAAGTCAAACCATGTATCAGATGAATCTGCACAGGCAGGCTTATTCATACGCAGCACCAGTGATGGGCAACCATAGCGCCTGCCAAGAGGCTTGTCATTAGCTCATTAGCAGAGGACATCGCATTCTAAGCAGGAGAACTGTAAATGGAAACATCACCTTGCAGCCACAGACCCTCTCCCTGTGCCAGGCACTCTGACTCACACCTACGGCACATCTCAGGGACAGCAGACATTTTGCAATTGAAAGTGCCAAAAATAAATAGTCCCATCCTCCTCCAGAAAGCTTTTTTACAGCCAGTGCCAGGAGCACCTCAGGGGTAGCTCATGGGGCTCTCATCAGCTGCATCCAGCACCAGAGACTCATGAAGCAGCAACAAATGGCAAGTTAGGGATGGACAAACCTACCTCAGGGGGAAATCCCCCACATGCAGGCATAATATAGCAAAGTGACTGCAAGATGTAAAAATACCTGTTTAATACTGACATCAGTTTGTGCCTGAACACTATGGAACAAACAAAAAAAGCAACCACAAACTAATGTTGTAAGAGCAAAGGTAAAAAACCTCTTCAAAAAGTACAAAAGAGCACAGGACGACCATCAGAGAGACTTTGATCAGGAGAACTTGATAGCAACAGCCAGGGTATATGAAACCAAAGCTGCAGGGCTATAGCCCATTGAAGAGGGTGACCTTCCACCAGCAAATCTGCAGCCTTCCTCTCATATCCCACCTCTAACCTCCTAGGCACACCTGCGGGAAGGCAAAGGATGGGCCAGGGAGGTGATCCTGGCATCACCCGCCTCCCCAAACTCTTAATTTCTACATAAGCTTGCTGCTTTATCCCAGGCAACATCCCCACGCTTACCTCAGCACTTCCACACCCAGTTTTCTTCTGCACTATCACAATGACTTCCAAGCTTCACAAGGGCAGAAGTCATTTATCTAAAAATGGTTAGATAAATCCTTCAATTATTCACTGTCCTCTCACTTTCTGACACTTCTCTCCTGTATATTTGTCCCAAGTAAGATTTTAAGCTGCTTAGGATACCTTTCAGGCTCTGAAGCTCTCCGCTAGTCGCTGCCATTGCAGCTAATCCTGTAGGAGTTTTACGCATGTTTTGGCTCAGCTTAGATTAAAAAACGTCAATAGCTCTCTAGAAATGGGTTACACAGCATGAGATCTAATTTATAAGATCCTGAAACAGGAGATAGGTTGTTAGAGATTTTAAGAGACAAGTCTTCACTTATCAGATCATATCATTCTGGATGGAAGGGACCTCTGGAGGTCTCCCGTCCAACCTTCTGACATTTGGTCCCTCTGAGCCATCTTTTCCCCCATCTCTGCAGGCCCTGTTGCTTCAGCCTCTCCTCAAAGGGCAGGTGCTCCAGCTTGGTGGCTGTTGGACTTGCTCATTGCTCTTGACAGGAGGCCCAGAACAGATGTGCTATTCCACACGCAGTCTCACAAGACAGGTAAGCCTTGCTTGTTTATACACTGCTTTTGCATTACACCACCAGAAAGATCTGAGCTTCATCTCTTCCTCAGTCACCAGCAACAACAGAAGCATGGCTTACAATGAACAAAAAGAATTTTATTGGAACGTATACACACAGGGATAACAGAGGTATCTGAGTAATCAAATATGGAATGTTTAAGAAAGTTAAAATAAATAAGGATACCAAGTTTTGCCAGTGCTAGGTCCAGCACCGATGTAAGTAAATGCCCTCTGAATAAGTCTGACTCTGAGGGGACCATCCCTGCAGAGCCTGTAAAGATTCCTACCACCAGAAAGTGGCCAATAATTTTGGAATACAAAGAGTCACAATAGTGCTTTCTACTGATGTGCATTCACACTGTTTATTCACTACTTTCGTCTCTTATTTCTTTAATAATATCTATTAAATTCTGAAGTCCAAAAACATAACCCGTGTCTTGGCCCTCATGCACCACGCTATCTTCTCCATAGTACTTGCAGGTTGTGTGGGCAAAGTCTATCATACGGACATCAACAGTACTAGCAGTTGGTTTGTAGGCATATGCTCCTGCTGACTCATCTGACGATTCCTCTGAAAGGTCCTCTAAGTCCTCTGGGTCTGAGTCAACAGCAACTTCCTGCCTTTCCTTTCCATCATAAATGATCAGCAAGGAGCTTGAATAGAAGCGGTAAGACTCCTGCTTCTCTAGGACAGACTTGAGTTCAGTCAGTTTTTTAATAACAGATTCAAAGAGTTCCCTGCGCAGGTATTTGCCGTTATGAAAGAACTGGTAAAGTGCTTCTTTAAATCCTTGGACTGAGAGTTTTCTTCCGTGGTATTTATTCATGAACATTAGCTGGCCAGTGCCTGCCTGGTAGACCTGCATATACAAACACAAGACAAGAAAAGGAATAGTTAAAATTGGTGGTAATACTGACTCAAAGCCTTGAAGAGGTGGGGGGGGGAACCCAAACCAAAAAACAGACAGACATGCTACAGAAAGCTTTTACAAGATGACATACTACTCTCGTAAAATTGCTCTTGCACAGTTACAGAAACTGTTAACAACAGATCCAGCAGTGTCTGTGAAACTCAGAGACATGGAGGAAGTGGAAAATTCCTTCAGTTTAGATTCGAGCTTTTCCACTAGGAATGTAAGAATGAGGAGTTTAAGTGAGATTAGGAAAGCTGTGGCCAAGATCTCCAAATTCAAGCTACAATTTGTACCACAGCCACTCATTCAGCTCATTACCTGCCTCTGCTCACAGGTGTACCAGTTGATTCCCAGAATGCTGAGCTCTAAGTGACAGCAAACACTCCTATATAAAAAAACTAAGGTGTGTCCCATAATACTATGCATTTAAAGAAGTCAGAGGTGCTCCTGCAGGAAGATTCCTTCCTATAGGAGAGTAGTCTACACACTACACAGCTTGATAATGCCTAAACATCTCAGTCAAATAAGGATTGCAGGTGCCTCCAAAGTTCCTCCTTGTTTACCAGCACAGGTCTATACTGGAAGGTGAACAATGAGCAGGCCCCGCTCAAATCCCAGCACACTGTGGTTAGAAATGCAGCTCTCACACTTTCGTTTCTGCCTTGTGTTTTTCTCCGAAGTTAAAGAGAGCTAAACACCAAACATGCCAATAGTCACGCTGTGGAACAATTCCTAGCAAACACTGCTGGCATTCCTGGAATCTACTGGATGGGAGGAGAGAGGCTTCGGAAAAGCCTCAAATACAAACAAGTTGTTTCCCATTTGTCGCTCTAGGAATACAGAAACAAGTAAACAAAAAAACTCAGGTGAAAGTCCATGCAACTCTATCTCCTTATTTGGCCATAAGTCTTATCACATTTACCAAGCCAATTCTCATCTGCACTTTGCAACAAGTCTACTTTAAGCAGTGAAAGATCTGTGGCTTTTCAAAGTCTACAAGACAGAACTGATTGGTTCTTAATATTCTGGCAAATTGCCGCATGCTTTATTCAAAATGCATGTACTGGCAGAGCCTCCCTTCAGTTGTTTCCTACGCTACCCTGAAATGTTAATCAAATCAGTAATTCTACTAAACAGTTTTGAATTGCCACTATTGTGCAGGAGACTGTTTTTGTGCTCAGAGAACACATTCACTGATGCAGAGTGCATGCTGCAGGCTGCTCCTGCAGATGCTGCCACCTTCAACTGATAAGCGATACCCAAAAGCCTCATTCCCCTTACTGAAGGAAATGAAGCACAGAATGTCAAGGATAGCAACACATGGGATGACTACATAAGCCCAAAACCCTGCCAACAGAAATGGGTGCCAGTCTTGCCCTACACATAATTAGTTTTCCTCTCACCTGCATGCCACAAACTCGGACTCCAATAACAGCTGATGTACTCTGCTGACACTTGCGAATTTGATTAGCCTTCTTCTCTTCTGACGCATCATCTCCATGCTGTCGGGTTCCCATCTTAAGGTCCAACACACATGGTACTTCGTATCGAGATGTTAGGTTTTCCAGCAAAATGAATTCTGATTAGTTAAGGAACAATCCTCACAATGAGGAATACAGGTCTTAAAACCATTACCACAGATCTTATAGTGGCACAGTCTTAACTTTAAGCATACCCAAAACATGCCCAGTATATAGTAGCCTATCAAAAATTACAGTTACATAAATTTGGCATAAAGCAGAGTGGACATCTAGTTCCAGTTTTACTGATCTCTAGAAAGACAGGTGAATTTCCACATTAAGTGGAAAAAAAGTAGCCAGGGTCATACAGAAATATAATCTGGCAGCTGACTTGGAATTATGAAGTACTTCCTGCCTAGCAAGAGACATTTTTTTGTGGGAAATGAAGATTTTGTGTGCTTCAGTTACCATTCAGAAACAGTGAAGCATCTTCACACCACCTCTGAAACACAGAAGCTAAAAAGCACTTCAGAACATCTGTAGTAATACCCTTCCAGAGATATCACACACTTCCATTTAGGTAATTTAATAATCATCTTCAGTGAAATGGTGAGGGTACCAGCCATGAAATGCTTTCTATTTTGAACAGTTTATTAGTCAGAGATGTTCTAGTAATCCATTCACTGAAACTACTCACACGTAAGGAATTTGTTTACCTAAGTATATAGATACTAATATTTTTGCAGGATGTATTGGTTGCATCCAAGCCTGCATACAGCAAGATTTTTTTTCCACAGAATGCACAGGGTGGAGATGCTTGCCTACAGTTCCATAGCACAAAACCAGCATGCTTCAGGTTTCATGGCTTCAGTCACTGTTTTTGCATTTCTCATGGTCCAGTTCTACATGATTGTTTATATTCAGCTTTTCTTTACCAGAAAGGCTCACTAAAAAGAGACTACTAGAAGCAGACAACTCCAGGCATTGGAATATCCTCTATATTTAAGAAGTTTCTGAAAAGGGGAAGATGACACTAGTTTTTAACATCACCAATACCAAAACAGTAACAAAAAGTGACAGAACTCTTCTTTGAAAGCTGGCATTAGTAAACTGTTTTTGTGGAAGATCCCAAACACAGTATGCTGTAAAACCTGTCCACTAACTAATCCACAACTGAATTAAGTTATCTGAATTTCCTAGCCTAGCTACTTTATTACATGCTGGAAAAGCCCATGTTCTGGAAAGGGCTGGCAATCCCTTCAAAGTCACCAAATAAATCACAGCTTCAGAGAGTCTCTCCAGATTGCAGTTAAGCCTGCTCTGTACTTTCATCTGGCATGTTCAAGAAATAAAAAGCAGAGCCCTACTCATTCCATTGTTATGAAGTATTTTCAAGAAAGGATACTGTATTGATTCCGGTGTTTTGCATTTTCCTTCATCCGCTGCAACTGCTGCTGATGACATTTCATGCTCCAAGGATTATGGTGTTTAAACTGTGAACTTACATTTCCTTTTTTCTCTACAGTATAATACAAGACTTCAGATTTCTTCAGCCATTCAAATTCTTCCTCCAATTTGTGACTAGAAAACAGAACAAAGCATCAAATTAGAGGTCAAATAGAAAAATAAGCACTTTAAAAGGGTTGTCAGTGGATTTAACTTTACAAACTATTTTGCTCACCTTCACTAACAGCTGGCATAAGCTTTATTTTGCTTTCTGTACAAGTGGACAAGTTGCCCATGAGTAATATTTCAACCTTTATAAAGCTACTTCTGTATTAATATAAATTAGCATATAGCCAAATATGTTACAAAATATGTACTAATTCTACTTATATATTCTTTACCTGCATGAATTACTTCCATGGAAGTAATGCAAGAAGTAGCGATATGGCTTAAGATTTATCCTTTGCTAAGGTCACTGTTTTTAGCCCAATACATCACGGCTCACAGTTTATAGTGGGCACAATTTACATAGGTGAACAATGGGAAAAACATCACTAACATGGATAAAGCAGGATTCCCACAAAAGTATGCTGTAACACTGAAATAATTTTTGGTTTTTTTACAACTATTGTGCTTTTGCAGGTGGGTTGGTTTTGTTGGCTTTTTTTTTTCTTTTTTGCAGAAACTTCAAAAATAACATTGGGAAACCTTTTCCAATTGATCACAGGAAAAAAAAAAAAGAAAAGACTCAACACACAACTAGGCTGAGGACATACTAGTTTCACTACTGAACCTGTCCGCACGGAAGAGGTCAGGAAAAACAAAAGAAACGAGAAGAAAAGAAAATGAAAGTTAAGAGTTCTGTAGAATTCTCTGGAATTCTGGAGACCAGATCCTAATTTGACAGCAAAAAATTTTATGCTTCAATGGTCTGCATTCCAGATCCCCCTATCAAACTTACCTTTTCATTTTCTCCTCTTTCCTGTGCTGCCGGACCCATTCCTTAGACACTTTCTCATTTTCTAACAACATTGTCTTTTTGTTAGTCCATCGCAACAGCTTACTTTTGGGTTCACAGTCAGAATTATCTAAGTTTTCTAAGTTATCATGGTCCCCACTTAATGGATATGCTATTAGACATAAGTTTCCATCTTCATCCTCTTCAAAGCTCACCGACACCACACCTGAAGAGAGAAAGGACACAGACAGTTATGAATTGCTGAAGCGACAAGCAAGCCTTTTAGAACGCATGATTTTACACTAAGAATATAGCAACTTTTGTTTTTTTCTCTTACCCTGGTCCTTAGTTTCTATCTTGCCACAGGCCAAACCTCATCTGCCAACCTAACAAATATCAAAAGACCTAGACAAAAATGACACCTCACAAAAGACAATTCATCATATTGACAAAACAATGATACAAAAGGTTCTTTTCTCTCTCTGATGAAGTCACATAAGAATCAAATAATAACAGGAGACAATTTCAATTAATAAAAGTTTTTATTAATTTAAAAAACCTGACTGGTCTGACCCTAAGTGAGATGTAAAACATTTGTTAACATCTTGTAGTGAAAAGTGACCTGCACAAAAAAAACCCCTCACATCAAAAGCTTTAAGTTTTGCATGACAGCAAAGCAAAAAGCACTTATCCAAACAAGATTTGGTTAATAGATCCCCAGGGGAAAGGAAAGATTTGCAAATAGAGCAAAACAAGGAAAATGTCACATTACAACAGAAACTAGTCCAAAAGCTTCCACTTAGAATCACCACGTTTAATTATTCATTTTCTTCTCCTTTTTGGAATATATTTTATTGATACTGGTTATGCAGCAATCTTGTCAAATAAGTTAACAAAAATGCAATACAAAACAAATCTGTTTGTGGTACAGAAACATGGTGAACCTTGAAAGCATATTTTTTTTTCTCATCTTCCCCTCAAGAGTCTCTAGAGCACTACATTGCATTTTAAGAGTCTTAGTGGAGCACTCTGACAGAGATGCGCTCAGTGCTACATTAGCCAGTTTCAGTGGTTAATGAAGAAACCATAACAATTGTCTGAATTGGTTTTAATTTTATTTTTCAGTCCTCTCTCTTTATTCTCAAATCAATCAGTCTGCACAGTTCTTGCAGCTCATCACTAGGCCAGAGGGGAGAGGTCTCGGCGAGAGATTGGCACTTCTGAGCTGGGCAGGCGGCTCCAAGACCTACAGTAGCTGGGGCAGGGAGCGCAGAAGCTCTGACTGACAGTCCTGCTGCCACAAAGGAAAGGACAACAGGAAAAAAGGGGGGAGCCAGCTAGCAAATGGCCTTTGGCTTTATCCTGGAAAAAATAACAGAGATGGACCAAGTGAGGCCCCTTACCCCTAAATCCCTCCCCACACTCCCCAAAAAGCCATATATACTAGTACAATTTTTCTATTACATTTTGAGAAGTATCATTCAAAGATCACATTTTCTTCCAGTCCAACAGAACTTGTAGTTACATGTCAAAAAGTCTCTTTAAGCGTGCAGGAAATATTAACTTTGAAACATCTCCTCTGAAGTCTTCCACCAGTTTCACAAACAGTATGCAAAACTTCATCACCCTTATGGTTGTTAGAATCAACGTGCTTTAAAAAGCAACTCCATTTTAAAAAGTGCTTCAGACATATTATTTATTAATCACCAGGCAGCAGTTGATGGAATAGAGAAGGGAAAGAAAAGTGTTTCTGTTAACTAGCGCAATTCTTAGGAGAACTGGAATTTCCACTCCTACATAACATCTGACTCAGCCTCATCGCGGCTACTTGATCCTTCCCTACCTAAATGCCATGAATTTTCATTTCCTTAATGGCAGAAACAACACTGCAGATATTCAACAAGACACTTCACTGACATGTATTTATTGCGATCAAAATGAGTCTGAGGAGAAATCCAAAAACAAGAGAGACCACAACTAAGCTTACACAAAACAGTCAACCAATCTTACCAAATCCCTGTAAACAAACATTAAACAAGTGGCAAAAAAAAAATTAGAAAGCCACAGAAAAAGCAGCAGAGAATTACTGAAAACAGTCACAAGCTGTTAGCTACTTACCTGTGCCTAAGGGAGATATATGGGCTATCACCAGCAGAGTTGCTCTACTCTAATGCTGTTAGTCAACCCAAACACCAACTTGGCAAGCATTTCCACCCTGCATCTCCACAGCCTGCCTCAGACAACATCAAAATACATGAAAAGAAAACCCTAAAATCTCTTCCACACAGAAGAGATTTCAGAGATAACAGAGAGCACAGCACACTTGTATTTACAGAAAGAAAAAGCCCAACCCCATCCTAAGGTTTGGTAACTTACCCTCATATTGCGGAGTGAATTTACGCATTTCTGTTGGGAGAGTCTCATAGAACTGGTGTTCTCTCTGAATAAGGGGTTTACAGATGGTCTTGTCATTAAACCGGAGGACACAGGAGTGTCCTCCAACCTGGTGGACAAAAGGCTCGAGCAGGACTCCCTTGGAATAGTGCTCCACTTCCATAGCTCCAAATGCTGGGCTCATCCTTGTAGCACATTAGACAGAAGAAGGCGACAGCAGTGAAGGCAGTTCAGAGCCAGAAGCCTCCGAGACCTGAAGGTGTTTATTCCGATTCAAAAGTCTGTTAAAACAAACACAAGAGAGCGCCGGGCCGTCAGCCTCCCCGCACGCTGAGGCCTGGGTAGGCAAGGCTGAGAGCCGCTGCCGGGTGGTGCCGCTAGCAAAGCCGGCCGCGAAGGCTCCTCCGAGCCGAGGGGAGCGGAGCGGAGCGCGGCGCCGCTCGCTTTACGGAGGCGGCCGACTGCGGGCCCGCGCGGGGCGCAGCCAGGCAGGCACGCCGTGTCCCCGCCCCTCAGCGCGCCACAACCAATGGGAGCCTCCGCGGGGCGGGGCGGACAGTGCCGCGGGTCGCTCGCCCGGCCGCGCATGCGCATCGGCGGCGCTGGTCGGAGGGCGAGCCGCAGATAAACTCCTGGTGTGTTGTGTTTTGTTTAAATTAAAAAAACGTTGATGGCAATTCCTGGCGAGTCCTACTTCAAGTTACGCCTAACGCCCTCCAGCATCCGTTCACAGAGCCAGACGCATCAGCGTTCGCAAGGATCCCTGCCTCCCCCGCGCTGAAGGTTAACAGCACACATCCCAGGCCCGCCAGAGAAATTCATAATTAAAACCAAGTTTACAGTTCCTCCCTTCCAGACAACGACAGCGATCACAGTAACCTGCCGAGGTCCAGGCTGAACACTTATTTCACCGATTTATTCACAACAACATGTCAGATATTTAAAGTATTCCATAGATGCTACCTTTTCAGTTTAAAAACATACTGCTAATAAGCCATTTTCCAAGAACTTAGTTTTGCGTAAGTACAGCAGAAGGCAGTGTTTTGTGCCATCTGCATCCAAAGGATCTGCTACTGTACCCCTGTGACTACACACCACACAGTTCTGACCAACGTCCAGTTTCATGCAACTTCCACTTCAATACACAATTAAAGGAGCAAAGCTGAAAAAACAAAACATGACTGTCTTCGTCTGTACCTTCCAGTAAATTTTTAAGTCGAGTTGCTCTAATTTTAGACCCAAGCTTTAATCATTAACTTTTTGCAGCTAAAAACAACCTCATACTTATTTTGTCTGAAGATCATTACACGAACAATAATGCACTTAATTCAAAGAGACTACAAAGTGTTCTAGGTCACAGGTCTATTTTTATTTGTCCTCCTTAGATATTTAACAGCTTTACATTAACTGGAAAAGCAGAGACCTGCAGGCTTAAAGCAGCAGCACTAACAGAACTACAGACCCCTGCAGCATGCCCTGTACGTAAGGGCATTAATTGAATTAAACAACTAAACTGCTTAAAGAAACAACAGATCGATCAATTGAACCCCAGCTCCTGGAATGTTTACTCACGCCTAAGGATAACAGATCAATAGTTTTACTCACTACACACCAGTTAGCTTCCCCCCCCCCCCTTCTTTCAATAGCCTTATTTGACAAAAAGTTACCAACTTTTTTTTTTTTTTAGAATGAATTATTTAATACGGAAAACAAAACTCAGGCCCTCTCTGCACAAACAGGTAAAATTTAATCTGGAACAGTATTTCCCAGAAACAATACTCTCTTCTGATACTCTATATTTAAAATTAGAACAAAATCAGTAAGCTTTCCATCCCTATTTGTACTACTTTTAATTTCCTAGGTTTTTTTTATAATGCAGCTACTGCATCCCCAGAACAGTTTCTCATATACCTCAGCATCAACAACTTGACAACTGGGAGACACACAGGTAAAAGCCTCTCCATTCCACGCCGGACACAAGCCATTTCCAAAAACCTATTTAATTACGGCCAAGCCGAGCAACACTGCGGTGCCCAGAGAGCATGGAAAGCCGTGTACCCTGGCCTGACCTCAAACCCCGGGCCGTCCAACCCAGCTCCGCAGCTGCCGCAGTCAGAAGGTGGCACTGTTAGTGCTTCAGAGTCACAGACCTGCTCGATGGCTCCCCAGGGTACCACCCACCCCAGGCAGGGCCGTACTGCTCCTCACGTTAGACTCGACTGGAAGCTGGCTTACCAGCAGATACCTAACATACTTCACCTTCCACCAAACGCACACTTAGCAAGCCGCATGAGCTCCCCGGTAAGCTGTGATTGAGAGTTGCTTCCAATTTCTATTAGGGAAATTTTAAGCTTCAGTTTGTGTTTGTATAATGCACCAGTAATTTTACAAGTCTCAAGAGTTTTCATCAGGATTTCCTAGAGACAACAGTGCCTCCAGTCTTCTGGAATTTCCCAGGGAAAGCCAGAAGAGTGCCAGCTTTTACCGGGAAACACAGCTGCATATGTACAAGATCCTGTGGTGACAGCTTGACACTGGCACAGCCACTTTTAACAGCACCACAGGACATCAGTATTAGAAGAGCCACCCTTTCCAAGACAGCATTACCATTCTGTGGCCACCTTTCTAATTACCCCTGATGTAGAGACACTGATAGGCAGCTGCAGCAATTCAAACTTAGAAAGTAGCTGCAAGATCCCTTAACCTCAAACACCTAGTTAGTCCTAGTCCTGCAATCAGGGTTGCATCAGGAGTTCAGCCTTGTAGATGTTTATGCTATAGAAATGACTCTAGCAAGAAAGCACCTCTAACACAGACCATACACAACACCTTGTTTACCCAGCACATCTTCAGGGAGTTCATTAGTAGCAGCTCAACTTGTTTGCTTTCACATATACCCAAGTGGTCTGGACAATACTTGCACATGGTGCACCACATTCACTCAGCAATGGAATTGCCAAACACAGAATTGGACAGGACTACTCATGCTACTTTACTGTTTCCTGAAAAAGTAACGTCTGGCAGCACATCACACAGTGTAACTTCCCATTCAAGGGACAACAAAGCAAGTTTTTTATAGCTCTGATATTATAAAAATATCAGTTATGCAATATTTAGGCAGGACAACAACAGGACCTGGAGCACAGTTGTAGCACCCATCAGAAATGCTTTGCACAACCTCAATTTGTAAATACCTTACTTCCACAAACAACCTCAGAAGTATGTCAAATTGGTTCCACTTCCTTAGAAATAAAAACTTTAACCGAAGACCAACAGCTTCAAGTGGCACTGATGTCAACCAGCAGAAGCACAATACAGTTCTTCACTGCCTTTCCTCTGATCCTACACCCAGTTTGTTTTCAATGCTCTTTGAGCAAGAAAGAGCACAGAACAGCTGGGTTTAGGCAGTTTTCCCAGATACCAAACACAGGCTCACTGTACCCTGCCCTTTTCCTCCTACGTGCTTTTAAGTGCCTTTGGTTAAGATCTTTTGTTCAAAGGACATATCAGAAAAAAAAAAAAAAGGGCAGCAGATGTACTATTCCTTCACATGTCAAGCATTTTAAGAGAAAAAACTGACATAACTTGAAGGAAACAAATAAAAACTCATCTAGAGCAATATCATTCTTACAGTAAGCAGCAAAAGATGTTTAAAACCCAAATCTGTAAAACTGAAGTGACATGTACAGACATCTTATTCTCATTCATGTGTGACAATGACTGTTGAAAGAATATCGCAATGAAGTCACATTTCCAGATTTTTAATATTAATCTCAGGTGACAGTATTCTTTGGAAGGTATTTCATATCATTACAGACTCTCAACTTAGTCCCACATGTAAGTAATTGCATTAACAAACACATCCTCTGGAGAGCACAGCTCTCAGTTAAGCAGCAGGTCCTTCCTTTGTAACAATCTCAAAAATAACACCTCTTCCCAAAACTCTGTAATAGTAGAATTACTGATGCAGAGCTACCCTCCTAATGACTCTGTTAAAACTGGGTTCTCTCAAGTGCAGACTTTTTACTTTGGGTGGTCAGTATCTGCAGCTCCAAATTGCCATAAATCAGCTTTACAGTGACAGAAATAGCAAGGCAGTAGAGCCTTCTGCCTGTCCTTTTCTCAGTTCACTGGCTAGTGCAAAGAGGAAGCTGACAGAGTAGCTACCTGCCAAGTCGAGCTGCTGCAGGATGCTATAAACCCTGCTGAACCAGACAAAGATAAGCCCCTTCCCAAGGTTCCAAGGAAACAGAGGAATGGCACAGCCAGCCAACAGGACCAAAGAAGAGTATCAGTGACCCATTAGAGAAGCCAAAGAAGAAGCTGCTTCAGCCCAAAGAATGCTCAGGAAGAAATGAATACCAGCTGAGAAAGGACATAGGAAGATGCAGATATCAATGCAGAAAGTATATGGTATGTTTGTGAGAGCCCACCACGTTTCATGCATACAATTCAAAAAGTATCTCAGGTCTGAGTCGGTAAGTCATTACAATGCTCAAAGAGAACAACCCTTCACAACTGAAGCAAAATAAACACACTTTAAGAACCTACAGTACCCCTATGAAAACTGGAATAGTTACAGGAATTTTACAAGTCCTTATGTGAGCAAACTATACATTTCATTAACTGTTACTTTACAAATAGCAAGGTACATTCCTTGAATCAAAGAACACAAAATACAAAGCAGAGGATGCAACATGAGAATATTAAGATATGTTAAACATGCTCAGGCTTACAGTTCTTGCACAACTTGTGATTCATTTTGATGAAAAGCAATGCCATTCCTCTACACATAACACTATTTCATTAGCCAATTTGCCCAGTCTAACATTGGTAAGGAATTGCTTCTAACATTCACTATAGTTGCTGCTTGACTCATGAATTGAAGTTACTCTGATGTGTTCCGCTCCAGAAGTTCTTAAGACTAGAATGGAGATACTCAAATCCTCTACTGACCAGTCAGCTGCCTTAAACCAGTAACAGAAATACAGAATTATATTTTAAAGATGAACTGCATATAGATTAGGGAGCAAACCCCATACAATAGATGTTTTTCATTCTTAAATGAATGCAGAGGTCTTTTTTCTGTTATCACAACTGTTTTAATAGATTCCTAACTTTGAGGATGCATTATACCTCTAAATAAAATGCCAAGTCCCACACTAGGATGCTTTTGAAGCCTTTTGTATGTTCAATAGTAACAATATAACTAAGTTTAAGCAATAAAAGCTATAGTTTCTAACTTTTTATCTCATTACAGTACAAATGCAGAGCCTGCATAATA